GAGGCTGAGGCAGCAGAATAGCTTGAACCCGGAAGGCGGACATTGTGGTGAGCTGAGATCGCGTCACTGCACTCCGGCCTGGGCAACAAGAGCGAAACTCCATCTCAAAAAAAAAAAAAACAAAAACAAAAAAAACAAACAAAAAAAACCATTTCATAAAAACACATTAACCCAGAAATGTTTGAAAACATATTTAATATGTGTTTTTGAAATTAGCCTCTCACTGGCTAAAAACAGGCTAATGAGCATAAAATTGTCCCATGTGATTATAACACACTGAGTAAAAATCCAGGAGTCTATGGCAGAAACGGGCAGGAGAGGAGAGATGGGAAGGCGGAAGGGAGGCAGGGAGGAAGGGGAAAGCTCTTGTTCACTGAAGTAGAGAAAGTAACAGTGGTGGAAAAACCACCACTCGGCAGTTCTCATATAATGATCTAGACAAGGATATTCAAAAAGTGCTGGAACTAACCGTGATGTTGAAGGTCACTGGACAACAGGATCTTCACAGACTGCCACAGAATCACCACATGGATTTCTCGTTAATTGAAATAGTGAGTCATATAATCTTAGCCAAGTGACCAAACTCAGCATCACTCACAGGGAGCCCTGATGAGACCCAACGGGAAGTACGTGGCAAAGTATCCTCCCCAAGAATTCTGATCCCGATCTAATCAGGCCTCAGACTTTACTCCCAGATTACAGACAACATACAGTTAAGGAACCAATGAGGCAAATACAAAACGTTATACAATTTACAAGACAATGGCCAGGCCTGGCGGCTCATGCCTGTAATCTCGACACTTTGAGAGGCCAAGGTGGGTAGAATGTTCCAGTCCAGGAGTTTGAGACCAGCCTGGGCCACATGGTGAAAACCCCATCTCTACAAAAGACACAAAAAATAGCCAGGTGTGGTGGTGCATTCCTGTAGTCCCAGCTACTTGGGAGGCTGAGCTGGAAGGATTGCTTGAGCCCAGGAAGTCATGGCTGCAGTGACTCATGTTCGCACCACTATGCTCCAGCCTGGGCAACAGAGCAAGACCCTGTCTCAAAAGACAAACAAAAAACATTTACAAGACCACCAGTCTGGATATGAAAAAGGGGAAAAAAGGTGACGAATGAGGAACTGTCTTTAATAAGAGAGATTAAAGAGAAAAAACAACCAAATGCAGTGAATGAATTCTGGCTGGATTCTGATTTTTTAAAAATACCAGCAAAAAATAGATATAAGGTTATTTTGTGACAATTGAGAAATCTGAAAACTTAAATATTATAAAATAATTGTTATTTGTTAGGTGTGATAATGTAATTGTGGTTATGCAGAGAAATGTCCTTATACTTAGACATAATTCAGTATTTAGATTATGTCTGCAATATTCTTTCAAATGGTGCAGCAAAAAACTAAAATCTCTATGCATAAAGCAAATATCTGAATCATTCACTGTTCAATCGACTGGAGGGTAACTGGGGGTATTTGATGTATTCTTTTAACTGTTCCATGTGTTTGAAAATATTCTTCATTCCAAACTTGTTTAAAAAAAAAAAAGTCCGGGCATGGTGGACTATCATCCCAGCACTTTGGGAGACCAAGGTGGGCGGATCACCTGAGGTCAGAAGTTTGAGACCAGCCTGACCAATATGATGAAACCCCATCTCTACTAAAAATACAAAAATTAGCTGGGTGTGGTGGCATGTGCTTTTAATCCTAGCTACTTGGGAGGCTGAGACAGAATTCTCGAACCTGGGAGGTGGAGGTTGCAGTGAGCCGAGACTGCGCCATTGTACTCCAGCCTGGGCAACAAGAGTGAAACTCCGTCTCAGGAAAAAAAAGGGGGGGTCTCATTCACGACACTTCCCCCTTATCTCATTGCTGTGTGTCTGTGTACTGCTGTCCCTCCAGGACAGATTCCCTCCCCCAGCTGAACATGAGCATCTCCCAGGGGAGTAGCATGGCCCTGGGGGCTGGGACACACCCCGGGTGAGCAGGAGCTTGGCAGTCACAGAACTTCCCAAGCTCTCACTGGTCGAAGGGCAGAGCATTCAAGAGGAAGCAGTGGATATGAAAGACAGGGAAGGAGATGGTGTCACGAAGTACAGAGTGGGATAAATGACCTGATCTTGAGAGGTGGGGAAGGGGCAGGGGTGAGAAGAGCTTCTAGAAGGAAGTGATGGGAGACCAGCAGGTAAGGCAGGGAGGCCTATCAGTCAGGAGCAGCCAACCGTGTCAAGACCTGAAGGCGAGCAAGAACGATGACTTCAAGGAAGACAATCTGAAGTGGGCTGGAGCACGCTGGCGGTGGGAACAGCCTTCGGGCCGTAAGGGGAGGGCCAGATCCCTAGGGGCTGGTAAAGCATTCTGGACTGCTGATAAGAAACTCCTGATGGTCAGTCAGTTCAAGCATCGAGTGGCCGGGTCCAGGGACATGCTGGGAAGGTCTTCTTGCTGTTGCTAAGGGAAATGCCCGGTTGGGGGCAGGCCCGAAGGCAGGGGCCAGTGAGGAAGTGGGCAAGCAAAGGCCGCTGGAATGGAAATGAGAGACACACGAGCAGACAGCAGTGGGGTTTCTGGCTGGACAGGTGCATGGCGAGGGCAAGGAGAGAGAAGCAAAACACAGTCCCCACGTGGTATCACTCAGTAAGATGGGGCAGGCAGGCGCAAGGGGTGACAGGGCAGCACAACGAGTTCATGCTTTTTCTGTCTTTACAGAAATGATCAAGCTAAAACAATGGGGTCAGTGAGTCGGGGCTGAGCACACTGGAGAGACCCCAGAGAGCCCTCCAAGTGCAGATGCCCGGCGGCTGGGACAGAGGTGGGGACAGAGCCCAGGGAAGAGCTTGGAATGGAAACATGGCTTTGGGAGCAACCACCACATCCACAGATGCCCCAAAGGGGAAGGAGATGAGGGCCCAGAGCAGAGTCTCCTGGGTAGGGAGGACCCGAAGACAGCCACAGATCAGGCACGTCAAGGTGGGACCTACCCCTCAGCCTAGGACGCAGAGAAACACTTGCTGACTGAGCGCTGACGGAACCACTGGCAGAGGACGGGAACTATCATAGTATAGAAACAGCTTTGAAGCTCTAAGAATTTCTAAGTCTCAAAATTTTAAATTCAAGAAGGCAATTTGCTAACATTACCCATAATCATTTAGTTCTGTCTCAATTTAAGAGATGGTAAAACTGACAACCAGATAATGATTTTTTCAGTAATGACAATTTTATGACTAAACCTTACATTGCATGTTTACCTAGATATGATTAGAGATCAACTTCCGAATCTTCAAATTGAAGAGTGAACTAATTCACAACCCCTAAAACCAAAATACTTAAAGCCTACCCTCAACAGTGGATAATGATGCCATGTGGCAAAGCCACAGACACTGGCCCACAGTGTTGATGAGAAGAAAGTGCTCCTTTATCCTTGTGAACACCACAGGCTGTAGGGTATCAAGCGCGTACCAGGTGACTTGTGCTGGTACCAATGGCGCAGTGAATCAGTCAATAATTTCCAAATCATGTGTTGAGTTTTAGAGATTGTTACTGTAGTATGATTTTTATATGTGACACAGCTTCAGAAGTTAAATAGTATCACTGCTGGTGCCTCCATCTGGCACAGGGAGTAGTTAAACCCCTTACACTATCCCCATCACTCTAAGCGAGGGCGAGCGGCCTGCAGTCTCAAAAAATGGATTTCTCTTGGCGCTGCTGTTCCAGGGGACCCTTTCAGTTTCTGAGGAATTGACAATAATAATTATTTTCCAGCCTTTTACTCTGAAACGAGGTCTCACTCTGTCACCCAGACTGGAGTGCAGCAACACAATCGTAGCTCACTGCAGCCTCTACTTCCCAGGCTCAAGTGATCTTCCCAATCCAGCCTCCTGAATAGCTGGGACCACATGTGCACACTACTCTGCTCGGGTAATTTTTAGTTTTTTTGTAGAGATGGGGTCTTGCTGTGTTGCCCAGGCTGGTCTCAAGCTCCTGAGCTCAAGCAATCTCCTGCCTCACCCTCCCAAAGTGCTGGCATTACAGCTGTGAACCAACTCACCTGGCAATTTCCAGCCTTTTAGAAACTTCTGAGATTTTTATACATCCTGTATTTTGATTATTGGATTTACTGAGTTAGGTCAAACCTCATGTTTTGAGCCAGACATGAACAGGTACAGCATGAAGGATAAGGACGAGACTCTCTGTCAAGCTGCCTGGCTTCAAATCATGTTCTGTAAGTTAAAAATTAAATGGCTTCCCTGTGCCTCAGTTTTCTCATCTAGAAAAAGATGACGATGATGTTTCTCAAATGGAGTTAATATACATTACAACAATGAATTTGTCCTATTAAGTGGAGGTGAAATTCAACAGAAACAAAGAAAAGGGAGACTTACACTCAAGGCATTCTTGTCTCTCACCTGCTTCCACAGGCTCTGTCAGTCTCTACCTCAGCCTTGCCCTGGCTGGCACCGGCCGGGTGGCAGTGGTCTGCTCGCCTACCCAACCTTACTGCACTCCTGTGGGCTCTCACGTGCTCCCAGGGCTGGCGCTGTGGACCGCAGCCCCCAAAGGTGGCCACACGAGGGCGTCTCCAGGGGCGTGCAATCGGCACCCGCAGCCTTGAGAGGCCAGGGAGCGCTGGGGGGCCCCCAAGTGTTTACCTGGTGCCTTCCTTGTCTGGAAGGAGAAGAGGGCTGGGTCTGGAAGGCCGGACTTACCGGAATTTACTGGCATAGGCAGTGGCCAATCAGATGAGGGCTGACAACAGTGTTGGAATAGAGTCTGGGTTGGGGGAGAGGAGGCTCTGGAGGAGTGTGGGTGTTACTGGACCCTCGCCAGGGCTGCACTTGTGCAGACCTAGCCACGTTTAGCCACTGGGGGCCCGAAGGAGGCTGGCTATAGGGCGTTGGCCGCCTCTGAAGGCACCCATGGCCCATGCCCACAGTACCTACCCGAGGGCTCAAACATGTGCTGAACACGCCAGAGGGCCGCTGGCACAAGCGGAATTGCCGCTTACCTTGGGCTGCGTATCGACAGGAGCCATCCTCCACCAGCACATTATAGAAAGGCTGGTGGTGGCCGTGTGGCAGGCTGTGGACGTTCATGTTCCGGATCCACTCGTGTCCCATCATGCAGGTGGGGTCCCAGCCGTAGATCACACAGTTATAGCCATACCTAGTTAACACAGGAGGCACAGTCAGTCCCTGTGGACCACCCAGCAACGTACAGACGATGGCGGGCTTCTCTCAGCTGCATCCTCAGCTACCTGCTTTACTCCCTGGGAATCATTTTTCAGGACAGCCCTGACCCCTTTTGTAAACAACTCTCATTATCAACATGGCACTTATCTGGAAAAGAATACACTTTCCAACAAAGAGTGATGGGATGACAACTGGTTATCCAAAAGAAAAAGAAACGGGACCTGGCCTGACAACAGCACACCAAATTCTGATCTTAGTATAACCAAGACTCAGTTGTTAAATGCAGAGCTTTTAAAATATAAAATATCTTCTTGACTCAAGACAGGGAAGGTTTGTTAAAACAAGGCACTAAAAATGCAACCCGTAAAGGAAAAGACGAACCAATTTAACATCATTAAAACCAAGAGACTAATGTTACTTCATCCAGTAATCTCGTGAGAGTTCCTATTTTCCTAATGTCTCATATTTTTAAGTATTTGAATCCTGATACTTAGATCCAACTGTTTGGATCAGGATTCAAATACTTAAAAATATGGGACATTGGGAAAATAGGAACTCTCATGAGATTACTGGATGAAGTTAAGTAACTGGGGTTTTCTTAGATGTGGTAACATGTTAAATATTAAAAGACAGAAAGAGAGGAAGAGAGCGTCCCTGCCTTTTAAAGGTACATACTGAGATGGCTATAGGTGAACTGACATCTGGCATTTGCGTCAATTAACCCAGGGAGGAAGGTATGGAGGGGGCAGAGGAGAGTGAGACCCACCCTGCATGGCAGCTGTTGAGGCTGGATGACAGGAACACCACCTGGCTCCTTATACTCCTTTCTCTCTTATATGAAAATTTGCAATTTTCCATTTAAAAGTTTTTAAAAAATGCAATAAAGAATGAAAACCACCAGCCAAAAACTGGGAAAAGACATTTGCAACTTTTCCTCATGTACAGACTAATATACAGAAGAACAAACTACATATCAATAGGGAGGACTAATAACAACTCAACAGAAAATACACAAAATGGGCCAATGTGGTGGCTCATGCCTGTAAGCCCAGTATTTTGGGAGGCCAAGACAGATCACTTTAGGTCAGGAGTTCATGACCAGCCTGGCCAACATGGTGAAACACTGTCTCTACTAAAAATACAAAAAGTTAGCCAGGCATGGTGGTGTGTGCCTATAGTGCCAGCTACTTGGGAGGCTGAGGCATGAGAATCCCTTGAACTGGGAGACAGGGGTTGCAGGTGAGCTGAGATGGCACCACTATACTCCAGCCTAGGCAGCAGGCCCAGACTCGTGTCTCCAAAGGAAAAAAAAAAAAAAAAGCAAAAAGAATTGTTTGAGGAGGCTCTTAATAAAACTTGGACGGTCAGTAGTAGCCCAGGAAACAGAAATTAAAACCACAGTGAAACACTATTTGGCATTTCCCACGTGAGCACACTTTGAAAGGTCTGGCAGTAGCACTAGGGAAGAATAGGAACTCCCGGCTCCCAGCCTGCTGGTGGGATGTAAGCTGCTCTAATCACTTTGGATACAGTTTAATTTTGCCTGGTAAACAGACCAAATGCCTATCAGATCTCAAGAAACTTGAGATTAAATAACAAGAGATAAGAACAGTGAGGAAATGAGAGAAAAAATCTGTGGCTTACAAAGTTACTTCCATCTTCTCACACTGAGAAGGGTCAAACATCTAAAGGCCGCTAAAAACACTAGAAGATCTCTCGGCAAAGTGAGTTGCTGCTTAAGAAACACAAAGGTCAAAGACATGGTTCAAAAAGGAAAAAAAAAAGCTCAGCTTTCTGTCTTCCCTTCGGTGCGCACTCAGGGGATAAGTGATCAAAGTCACTGTTTCCAGTCAGCTCCTCCTCTACCGTGTCCTGAGGGCTCACCAGATGTGTGTGTCTCCGCAGCCCTCTGGAACGGACACCGCAGGACAGGACGATCCCGGGCACTCACCTCTTATGCTTCATAATGAGCCCGATGGAGTAGCAGACATCCCTGTGCTTCTCATCAGAGCGCAGCTTGACCTCCACGCCCACCTCCTCCTTTTTGCGCTCAATGTGCTCTAGAGTATGCTGCACCAGGTAGCCCACCGCCCCGTGCTGCCCCGGGTCTAGGGTCTGGATGTGCTGGAGGATGTCAAGCACCTTCAAGACAAGACAGAAAGACTAGGAGATAATATTTTCAGCTAGGCCTTTTCTTTTTTGCAGCGAGGGATTTAGACCTACCTACGTAACCTAACAAAGGACCTTAAGGGGTGGCTGTGCCCTGATGGCCCCGGTCCAGGTCTCTGGGCCATTCTCTGACAGACCGCTACCAAGTTGGCACTGCGTATGTCCAGGGCTGGGCTCGCCTGTAACACTGGCAGCTGGCCTACGACACCCCAATTTAACTAGTGTGAACCTGGGGAGTTCTTTAGAAACTAGTGTGCTGGGATAGGTGCTAGGGACGCAGGCGAGGGTCCCCCAACTAGGGCACATCTGGACTAGGTGGACTCTAACAGCGCCTAACATGCTTGGTCAGCATGGGAAGTATGAGAATCCACGTTTTTAAATACACAGAAACGATTTTTAACTTGCCACTCAGGAGTTCAGAGGGGAAAAAATGCTAAACTGCTTTAATCAAGACCAAAAGGATGTTTGCTACAACTGCCTCAGTGCTGGAAGAGATGGAAAAGGTCACAGAGCGAGGATCAGAGGAATGCATTCGTTAAGTTTAAGAAGCTATACTAGAATGAGGAAGCCACGTGTGTCAGAGTTTTAAAATCCTGCTGGTCACCTCGGTGATCTGGACTCATCATGGTATTTGGTATTCAGCATGCAGCAGGAGAAACCACACCTATGCAGAAGTTAAACTAGTAGCACAGAGTACCAGGACTGTCTGACTCCACTATTACCGCCTCGACTGCACACAGTGCCTCTCTGGAAAAAAACTCCAAGTTTGAAAAGACAGACATACAATTACTTCGAACCCATCATGCTGACAGCCCTTAGCACAGAGTTTCTGACAAAGTCCTCCTCCCAACTTACTGAGTCCTGGATTACAGCCTGCTTAGCACATAAAGCCACTTGGACTCTAGGCCCAGATCTGTCAGACTAGCCATTGTTTTTAACGCTGAATTCCTTTCTTAGCTTATCAAATCCTGAGTAATCACTGTCCTGCCTGTTTCCTGATGCATCGTGAGCCTGTAAAAGTATTGTGAAAATTCCAGTTCTATGCACCACGCTATTATCTTGCCTTTCAGACTGAGACTTGCTGGACCTCAACATTAACCAAACACTTATTCTCTGCAGGTCACTGTGTCAAGTCCACCACGTTTTTTGTTTCACGTAATCCTTCCCATCTGAAGGTTAGTTCTTGACCTTCAAATTGGGAGGATTAGGTTAAAAAAAAAAGGGGGGGGGGAAGGGTTTAGTCACTGCCACTTCCAGAAGAGGACTCGGACTTAGAGCAGTGACTTGCCTGGGGTCACAGGGCTGTGGTAAGGTGCAGTGAGGCTGTGGCACTGGGCATGAAGATCAACTCTTGCTCTCAACCAGTGTCATACCCGAGCAAGAGTAGGAGCATTTTAAATTCACTACTACACAAACCCAGTTTCAACAAGAATCACCAGACAGCCAATCTCCCTCTGCCTCTACCTCCAGCCGGGCACTTCGAATTTACCCTTTACTTGAACAAGAAGTACCTACTGACAGTGCCTGCATAATGGCCATCCTTGTGAGCCGACAGAGTTCCAGCAAGCCACCTTTTCTGTCCCTCGGCTGTGCTCTACACACGCAGCTCCCTTTCTGTCCTAGCAGCCACCTCCCCACCAGATAAGTAAAAAGCCCAGAACTTGGCATCATCAGAGGACTGAGAAAGTCTGGATAAGGTCAAGGATAATGACCCCCACCTTCGCTGGATGTGTGGCTGAGCACGAAGGCAGAGGGCAGAAATGAAGACTCTGTGCCTCGGGGCCTGGCATATTTGCAGACTGTGCTGACCCGGGCACCACGCTGTCCCCACCAAATGCTCTAGGCCTAGAATGCCACATGACTACAACTTCTGGGGCAGAGATCCTGGATTGGGGTCTATTACCCATGTTTTCCTATACTGCTTTCTTCCTCTAGCCTAGGGGCTGGTAGACTTTTCCTGTAAAGTGCCGGAGAAGAAACACTTCAGGCTTTGGGGGCCACACATCCCTGACTTAACTACTCAGCTCTGCCACTGTAGCTTGAAAAAAGCTGTAGATAATAAGTAAACAAATACAGCTTATTCACAAAAGCAGGCTTTGTGAATCTGGCCCACAGACCGTAGTTTGCTGAGCACTGCTCTGTCCCTGAATTCCAGGTTCCCTCTAAGGTTCTCTGAAGTTCTTGGTTCTGCCTTCTTGATATCCATTGTCTGTGGGATCTGCTACTTTTGGGGCTTCAGTTACCAGATACTGATGCTAGGAGTTCCTGCTAAAGGCTACTGGGCATCTGCACTCAATGCCTTCAGGTCAGGATGAATGCAACGCACCCCACACAGAACACTTTGTTCTACTACCAAAACAGGTCTGCTCTCCAAACACCTACTTTCAGAGTGACATAAACTGCCCCGTGTTGAAAACTCTAAACACACCCTTTGAGTCTTCTCCTTTATTCATATCTAATGAAGTTCTGCCACTTTTTTTTTTTTTTTTTTGAGAAGTAAATTATATGCATATGATTTCCACTCTAGTGATTCTTATTGTGAAGAGACTTATTAGACTTTACAGAAGTAACTTGTTTACCTTTTTTGAGATGCAGTCTCACTGTCATCCAGGTTGGAGTGTAGTGGTGTGATCACGGCTCACTGCAGCCTTGGCCTTGACCTCCAAGGCTCAGGCGATCCTCCCACCTCAACCTCCTGAGTAACTGAGGTGATATGCCACCACAGGTGTAGTGTGCCACTACACCCGGCTACTTTTTGTATTTTATTTTGGTAGAGACTGGGTTTTGTCACATTGCTGAGGCTGGTCTCAAACTCCTGGCCTCAAGTGACCCACCTGCCTCAGTCTCCCAAAGTGCTGGGATCACAGGTGTGAGCCACAGCACCTGGAAGTCATTTCTTAAGTAGTCATTTAGAAAAAAATTTTGAGCCCTTATCATGGGCCAGGAATTGTGCTGACAGCATGGAGAAGACTGCAGTTAGGAACAGGACCTGGTCCCTGTCCTTAAAGAATATGTTCTAATGGAGACAGATGATGGAGCAGCAGCTACCACAGACTGGATGAAGCTCTGGGAAGGGCAAGCACAGAACAACTGGAAAACTTGACGAGGCAGTGCAGAGGAAGCAGGGAAGGGGTTTCGGAGGAGGCAGAAGTCTAAGCTGACAGGTGGGCAGAAGTGAGCCAGCAGATGGGAGTTGAGGATGAGCAGAGACCCTGGGTAGAGATGCAGCACACACAAAAGACTGAAGCAAGACAGCGCAGACACGCAGATGAAGTGACAGGTACAGGAGAAGACCAAGGCACTGCTACTGGAGGCGGGGAGTGTCAGGCAGGCAGGGCCAGATCACCCAGAACCTAAAAGCCACATGGAGAACGAGTCTGGTCTTCAAGGCAACAGGGGAGCCACCCTGAGAGGTTTAAGCAGTGAAGGGACATAACTGATATTTTGTTAAGAGTTCTCTGGCCTGCATACAGAGCGGGCTCACAGGGACTCAGGGCTGAGGGAAGGAGGACAAGCAGGAGGCCGGGGCACTGCTTCAGGCTACAGAAGTGCTGCTCTCAGCAGGCTTTCACCCATCTAGGAGACTGAGTCACGTGCATGGGTGTAGCAGGCGTGTGGATATGCTGGTCTGGAGCCCAGGGTCCAGGCAGGGCTCCAGTGCTCCAGCAGCCACAGCAGACAGGCAGTAACTGACGCAAGAGGAAGGGCACTGTCCTAGGGCACAGGTGCAGAGTAGAAGATGTCTAGAAGTTATCCTTCAGCCTTGAAGGGAAGATAAGAACTAGCAAGAGCGTGAGAACCAGAGACCACAGAGCGAAAGGAACTGACTGTTCCCAGAAGGGAGTAGCCAGCAATGATGGGGAAAGATACAGAAAGAAAAAGTATGTACTTCATTTATCAATGAGGAGAATGGTTTCAGTCAAAGAGGGTCACTGGCTTCCTTGGCAAGAACAGTGCCTGTGGAGGAGGCATGGGAACGGGTCCTGGTGTTCCTGGTGAGTGGGAGGCAGCCTAAGAACTTTAGCTCTGTGGGAGGAGGAAAGGTAGTGACCTAGAGAAATGCCTGCAGGGCAGACAGGGAGTACTTTTTGTTTTTCTTCCAATAGAAGAGATGGGGGTTTGCTTTGGAAAATTGGGGGATACATTTTCCACTGAAAGGCAGAAAAAGAGGGAAAGGAAAACTCTGGGTCATGATGAGGATGTAGGTCTGGCAGCAGGAAGGAGAACGTGCCTGTCTGTTGGCTTCTTCAGAAACGCTCTGGCCTTGGCCCACTAGACCATGGGATGCGGCGTGGGGTGGGCCCGGGCACCACCTTGCCCACACTGAACTCCTGATGCCGTCATGGCATACACAGGAAACTCAGGTAAGTTATTTAACTTCTCACTGCCTCGGTTTCCTTATTTGCATCAAGGCAAAAATAAAAATAATATCCATCCTATAAGGCTGCTGAGAAGATTCAGTCAGTACTCCTGACTTCTAAAATCTCACCATCCTACCCTCTCTATTTCCATCACAGCCATAACAACCCTGGATTACTGCTACAGTGACCAAGGGGGCTTGTGTTTCTTAGCTCTTCCTGGCTATCGAAAATAAATAGGCAGTACAGCCTGGTATAAAAAATAAATAGGCATTGGCCAGGTGTGGTGTTTCACACCTGTAATCCCAGCACTTTGGGAGGCCAAGGAATGCGGACTGCTTGAGGTCAGGGGTTTGAGAACAGCCTGGCCAATATGGTGAAATCCCATCTCTACTAAACAAACAAAAAAAATAATACAAAAATTAGTCGGGTGTGGTAGCATACCTATAGTCCCAGCTACTCGGGAGGCTGAGGCAGGGGAATCACTTGCACCTGGGAGGCAGAGGCTGCAGTCAGCTGAGATGGTGCCACAGCCTGGGCGACAAAGTGATACCCCATCTCAAAAAGAAACAAACAAAACACCCCCAAATAAAACAAATACATAAATAGGCAGGGTGTGGTGTCACACTTTGGTAATCCCAGCACTTTGGGAGGCCAAGATGGAGTTCAAGGCCAGCCTGGGCAACATGGTGAAACCTAGTCTCTATTAAAAAAAAAAAAAAATTAAAATTTAAAACATGTAAATAAAATGAAAATAAATTTGGACAAGTAACTGATAACTTTGGTGGACAGTCTTCTTTCCCAATAAATTCCTCTACCACATTACACAGATGTTCTGGGAGGATATTTGCTATGTGGGCTACAGATGACATCTTTTCTTTCTTTTCTTTTCTACAATCTCCTCCTCCTGGGTTCAAGCAATTCTCTTGCCTCGGCCTCCTGAGTAGCTGGGATTACAGGTACCTGCCACTAATGCCCAGCTAATTTTTACATTTTTAGTAGAGACAGGGTTTCACCATGTTGGTGAGGCTGGTCTTGAACTTCTGACCTCAGGAGATCCACCTGCCTCGGCTTCCCAAAGTGCTGGGACTACAGGCGTGAGCCACCACACCCGGCCTACATCTTTTCTTAAAACAGGAGGCTTGGGATTTTCCTACTGGTACATCCATTCTTAGAACTATTTTAGATCTTCGAAGTTGTGGATCAGTGAGACTTTCAATCTAAGCAATGTAGAGTCATTTAGAATATTTACTTTTTTGGGAAAGACTGTACTGCTCTCTAACGACACAGGGAGATGAGTTTATGCTGATGGCCTGTGAGAGCTCACAATTAAATTCTGCTCTAAACAATCAAAAAGGACTATTCACATATTTCCAAAGAAGAGCCAAGGCATTGGTGGGAAGGTGCGGCTGGCTCCCGCACACTGTTACACACAACGGGCCTCTACGGGCTACATCCACACAGCCCGCGTAGGTCAACACTGCAGCCTGCTGAAAGTGTGTGCTACAGCCCAGAGGGGGCCATTAAAAAACGGAGGAAATTCCGGTGAAACAGTATCAAAATTCAATGGTTTTCAAAGACAAAATGAGTCCTTCTCTAGTCCAGTGGCTAGACTTGAACATATCTAAGATCCAATTTTCCTGCATCTGATAGGAGCACTTATTTATTCATGGCCAATGTTAGCTGCTAACAGCACGGCTGGAGGTTGACCATTTACAGCTTTGCTTTCCCTTGCTAAGTGAGGGTGACTTGGAGAAAAACATCTTAGGGCCCCAGTGGGTGAGTAGCAGAGACAGAGGCTTTGTGGTTCTAAGGTTGAAGGAGCTGACCACAAAGAGAACAGGCAATTCCTGGCAGCAGAATCAATTTCCCTTAGAATAAGAAATGAAAAAAAAAAAAAAAAATCTACTGATGGGTTACGATTAGGAGACTGAATAAATTTGTGTTTATTCCCCATGTTAACATAAAGATTAAGTTTGTTATAGGGAACCCTTCAATCTAGGACTCCTCTTTCTAAGGCAAGGGCAAAGCATCAAAGTTAAATAATTACCTTCTCTGGCCAGATTCCCAGATGGAAGTAAAGCCTGGCTTGGAGGAGGAGAAGCTGCACCTGGTCCGGGTACATTGCCAGATAGAGATCTAGTGAGTCTCGCAGGAGCTGGTACGACTGGTCGATGCCTTCCCTAGCAGAGGAAAAATAATCTTTGTCTTATCCTGTTTGTTTCTTCAGCAAAGACTTTTTTTCTGAGGCCCAGGATTTAAATATAATTGACACAAATCCCAAATGTTTTCTAACTGGTATTTCTTCTCTGTTCAACAAAGAGATACAATGCTCTTAAGAAAAAAAAAAGTACACAATAAATATAAACCTTGTACCCTACTTTGGTGATGGGTACTAAATTAAAACCATAAGCACTTTTATTAAGCAGTCACTGCAGTAACACTGTACATAATTAAAGATGAATTCTGAGTAGGCAGAGCAGAGAGGATATTTTTGGCCAGTGAAACTACTCTGTGTGATACTATAAAGGGGAACCCATGTCATTATGTGTTTGTCCAAACACACAGAATATACAAGACCAAGAGTGAACCCTCATGGAAACCGTGGACTCTGGGTGATGATGATCTGTCAGTGCAGTTCACTGGTTGCAGCAAATGCACCGCTCTGGTGCGGATGTTGACAGTGAGGGAAGCGGTGCGTGTGCAGGGCAGGGAGGATATGGGAACTCTGCACTTCCTGCTCAATTTTGCAGTTAGCCTGAAATTGCTCTAAAAAATAGTCATTTGAAAGAAGAATTCTGTCATTAGACAGAAAACTATTACTCTAATAACACAGCCTACAACTTTCTACTTTCCCTGTAGGACAGGTTTCCTTGGACTTAGAAACAAGGCAGTTTCCTATTTTGTTTTCTTATCTAATGATAGGAAGGTATCAATTAAAAGATGGCAAAGCATTTGGATATGAGAAGATCTTGCCCTTGAAAAATAATCTTTCCCAGCCTAAGGTATTATTATTGAAGAATGCTTTCAGTACCTGCAAAGAGAACTTGTCAGTGTCTACTGCAAAGATCTCAAAGAAAAGTTACTTGGCACATCACGAACACAATTCAAACCTCTAAAGACACGTGCTCAGCAGAAGTACTAGAAAACCAAGAAAACCTTACCGCTTCCCCAGGCTTAACAGGTTTCCCACCATTCTCTGTAACACCTTCTTGACATTGACCACCCCATACAGTGCTGCAGTCACGTGCTGGCCGATCAAGTACTCGCATTCTTTCACTGTCAGCTGCTTGCCTTTCCCAAAAGCATCTATGTAGATGTAGTCAAAGATGTCCAGGGTCGCCCTATCCAAAGAGCCAAATATCAGATGACAGCCGACCAACTCATTATTTTAAGTCTCCACAGTAAGTAGGTCAAATCACGGGCTGAAGGTTGAGACCATAACATTTCTACTTACAATATCAAGGTCTTGTCCAAGTTTAAAATCTGACCCCTTTGTGCAAACTCTGCTCTGTCAAGACCACAGCACACTGACATTTAAAAAACAACACTGATGTATATCATCTAATAACGCTCTTCAGAAAGACTAAAACTCACTGCCAGGAGTATGTACAACTTCAGCTAAGATAAAGATTTATTAAATGCCCAAGGCAGTCTTAATTCCGTAGATTAGTAGCAGGTAACCATCTATGGATCCTGGGCCCTGGATGATCTGATGAAAGTGACAGCACCTCACACAGGAAGGATTCAGCCATCGGTTCTGCTGACATGCTGAGGTGGTCAGAGACCTGCTGAGCTCATCATAGCCTTGGGCTGGGAACCCTGTGCTAGAGCACAGAGAGCTGTGCCCCCTGGCCTCGATCACACAGCTCCTCTTGCAGGTCTGCCTTCTGAAACCTGCACTCAAACTGCACCAGGACGCTGGGGCTGGCCCTCGCTGAGCACATGGCTGAGCGGTGGTCACACGATATAAGCTCTCACTGCACTGCCAGGCTTGCTCTCTACAAGGACTCATGGAGGGATTTGGGGTGCTCTGTTTCAGGGATACTTGTGTTTCTTATGAGCTATTGTTTCATCTTGATCTCATGCCCACTATAAATTATGTAGCATATTCCTTTTCTTGGCTGCTAAAAAAGTCCAATCGAATTTGTTCCTTGAGTCACATATAACCTACCCTTAGCAAGGATGTAAGAATTATATGTCTGGGTATGGTGGCTCACGCCTGTAATCCCAGTACTTTGGGAGGCCGAGGTGGGCTGATCACCTGAGGCCAGGGGTTTGAGACCAGCCTGGCCAACATGGCAAAACCCAATCTCTACTAAAAATACAAAAATTAGCCAGGCGTGGTGGTGAGTGACTTTAATCCGAGCTACTTGGGAGGCTGAAGCAGGAAGATTGCTTGAGCCCAGGAGGCGGAGGTTGCAGTGAGCTGAGATCGCACCACTGCACTCCAGCCTCAGCAACAGAGTGAGCCTCCATCTCAAAAAAATAAAAATGAAATAAATAAACCTATGAGGAAAGGACAAAAAATATATATATAAATGTTCTAGAAACAAGGAACTCTTCAATTCTTTTAATGAGGCCAGGACTTCTTAAAGACAAATATACAAAAATTTCTAGGCCAAGATCATTTAAGAGCTACCATAAATGCAAAAATCCTGGGTAAAACATGAGTAAATCAAATGCAGCAATGTATTTTACAAATATGTGACTAAGTTAGATGTGCCACAACAATGGAAGCTGAACATGAAAAAATCTATTTTGTAACAGATGCTGGGGAGGTTGTGGAGAAAAAGGAATGCTTATACGCTGTTGGTGAGAGTGTGTATTAGTTCAACCATTGTGGAAGAGAGTTGTGGTGATTCCTCAAAGGCCTGAATATGGCTAAACCATTTGACCCAGCAATCCCATTACCAGGTATATAGCCAAAGGAATATAAGTCATTCTGTTATAAAGACACACGCACACGTATGTTCCCTGCAGCACTATCCACAATAGCAAAGACACGGAATCAGCCTAAATGCCCATCAGTGATAAACTGGATAAAGAAAATATGGTACATACACACTATGGAATACTATGCAGCCACAAAAAAGAACAAGATCATGTCCTTTGCTGGGACATGGATGGAGCTGGAGCCATCATCCTTAGCAAGCTAACACAGGAACAGAAAACCAAATACTGCACGCTCTCACTTATTAAGTGGGAACTAAGTGATGGGAACACACGGACCCAGCAGGGAACAACACACACTGGGGCCTGTTGGAGGGTAGGGGGAGGGAGAGGATCAGGAAAACTAACTAAGGGGAACTAGGCTTAATACCGGAATGATGAAATAATCTGTATAACAAATTCCCATAACACAAGTTTACCTATGTAGCAAACCTGCACATGTACACCTGAACTTAAAAGTTAAAAAAGGGAAATTCTATTACAACAAAAACTATTTCTAAACATATAGACTAAAACTGAAAAACCGTATCATGTAAGTAGACACAGAAAAAGAATTTTGAAAAAAAAAAATCTAATGCCTAGCTATTAATAAAAGTTAGCAAAGTAGGAATTTAGATGGTAGCTTTCATAATCCCTAACTGCCCCCAACATCATGCTTGATGGTGAATTTTTGTTTTCTTTTTCTGAGACCCTGTCCCAAGCTGGGCAAACAAGCTGGCCTTGAACTACTGGGCTCAGTCAATCCTCCTACCTCACCCTTCCAAGCAGCTGGGACTACAGGCGTGCGTCACAGTGCCTGGCTCTGAAATTTTAAAAGCATTCCATTTAAAGTCATATCCAAGGCAAGGGTGCCTGGTATCTTTGTTTTTATTCAACTTTGTACAAAAAGATCTAGCTAGCTGAGTAATGCAAGTAAAAGAAACAAATATATAGGAGTTATCAAAAAAAGAAGAAACAAAACTGTCACTATTCACAGATACTATGATTATCCACAGAGAAAAGCCAGGAACTGACAAATTATTGGTACTAATGATGTATTCAGCCAAGGAACTGAAGATCAAAGCTGTATCTAGATATCAATCACATGCCTGTATACCATTAATACTTAGAAAATGTAATCTTAAAAATTACCATTTACAACTGGAAAAAAAAAAAAAAGAAAAGAAAGGTATCTAAGAACAAATCTAACAAGATGTTAGCTTGATGAAGAAAAAGATAAAATCTTCTTAAGGCCAGTAATGACAACCTAAATAAACAGAGTGGTCCATATAAACATTTGCATGGAAATAACAAGCACAGCCAGGTGCGGTGGCTCATGCCTGTAATCCCAACACTTTGGGAGGCTGAGGCAGGCAGACCACTTGAGTTCTGGGGTTTGAGACTAGCCTGGGCAACATGGCAAGACCCCATCTTTATTAAAAAAAAATACAAAACAATTAGCCAGGTTGTTGTGGTGCATGCCTGTGGTCCCAGCTACTAGTGAGGCTGAGGTGGGAGGATGGCTTGAGCCCAGGAGACGGAGGGTGTAGTAAACCGAGATTGCGCCAATGGACCCCAGCCTGGGTGGCAGAGCCAGACCCTGTCTCAAAAAAAATAAATAAATAAACATTTTCAAACTGGTGGTTAGCTCTCAAGAGGAGAAGGAGGGAGAAAGGGATAAGGAAGAGTACCTGGGAGGCTTCAACTAAACATGTAATGTTTTATTTTTTAAACTAAGAGATAGGAACAGAGACCAATTGTACTTTTTTGCTATGTCACATCAGAAACACACCTGGGTGTATAATATACTGGGTGATTTAATTTAATCTTCCAAGCTGCTTTATAAAAAACATTAATCCATTTTACCAAGGAGAAACTGAGGCTTCCTCAGAGGAAGGCAAAGTTTGAACCTAGTTTGACTTCACAGCTCTGGTACTTTCTACCACACAATTCATCATTAAAGGGTATCAGAGTTAATCATTAAGACATAGTTTCAAAGATCAGGACATAGGTAAACAACTTTTTTCCTCTTCCCCTAAATTGTAGATTTAATGAAAATATATTCCTACCTGTTGAACTATTTCTTTCAGAAAAGCTAGACTATAACTGAAAAGGAGCTTTCTGCCCTATAGAGCCCGAGGTTTAAAAAAGAACAGAACAGAACTCGGTATACTACCAGATCTCTAAAATTCCCATCAGTTACTGACCTTGCCTGAAGGGGAACGTGGCCACCCTGTTCAATCTCCCCCACTTTCTTTCCCTCCCTTCCTCTCCCACTCATGTGGGACAAAGGGGGAGATTTTATGGAAGAATGAAAAGAAATAATTTCTTTAAGAACTCTTTGATCTGATCTGCTTTGGACCAAAGGGACTCTGAGAACCACAAAAGACCTTGAAGTCAGTCTTATTTTTTAAAATGAAACTTTTTGAGATAACTGTAGATTCACACATGCAGTTTCAAGAAATACAGAAAGATCCAGAATACCCTTTCCCAGTCTCCCCTGATGGTACCATCTTCACTGTTATAATTTAATAACACAACCAGAATACGAAACTGATACAGCCAGGAAACAAAACATCACCCTAGTCCCATTTTTAACCTGTTTGGTAACACCTTCAGCACAGAGGGACTGAATCTTCCAGACCACAGATCAAGAGTCACAGATACTCACCCTTCTGCGCCTTGGCACCACCTTAGTAAGAAGTGACTTGGGAAGTTGACAGGCTCCAGTGGGACTCCCAACTGCCGAGCAATTGTCAAATAGAGCAGAGACATGCTGATTGGGATTCCTGTTCTGCGGATCAAAACCTAAAGCAGAAAAAAATGCTTTTATTTCACTGGGATGAGCTAAACGTTCTCATTCGTTCAATAAACATTCTCATGAGGCATCTATTGTGCATTGGGCATGATGCTCTTTTTTGAGGCTTAAGTGAGTATTTCACTTATTTAGGTCAGGGTCAATAAACTATGGTCCACGGTAATTCCAGCCCACCAGCTATCTTTGTACAGCCTGTGTAAGAAAATTTTTTATGTTTTTAAATGTTTAAAAAAATAGTTAAAACAATACTATTCCACGACATATAAAAACATGAAATTCAAATTTCAATGTCAGTATATACAATTTTGTTGGACACAGCCACACTCAGTTGTTTTTATATTATCTGTGCCTCCTTTTATACCACAGAGGCAGAACTTGAGGTAACAACAGAGACCACATGGCACTCAAAGCTGAATTTTTTTTTTTTTTTTGAGATGGAGTCCCACTCTGTCTCGCCCAGACTGGAGTGCAATGGCACAATCTCGGCTCACTGCAACCTCCGACTCCTGGGTTCAAGTGATTCTCCTGCCTCAGTCTCCCGAGTAGCTTACAGGCAACCACCACCATGCCTGGCTAATTCTTTTTGTACTTTTAGTAGAGATGGCCTTTCATCACATTGGCCAGGCTGGTCTTGAACTCCTGACCTCAGGTGATCTGCCCACCTCGGCCTCCCAAAGTACTGGGATTATAGGCGTGAGCCACTGCGACTGGCCAAAGCTAAAATAATGTACTGCCTGGCCCTTTACAGAAAAAGTTGGTCAAGCCCTGATTTAGGTCCTCCTCCTTCCAGAAAGAATCTAAGACTGTTTCTAGGGAAAGTGTGTATGACATAACAAAATAAAATGAAAGTAGCAGATAGGACAACAAAATAAATATGAAAATGGAGCTAGGCAGAAAGCAAGTAAAAAATATAACATGGAAACCTGACACAGCTGGGTCACAGGTTCCCCCAACTGGCTAGAGGCCAGTGCAAAAAGAGGAGACTGATTGGTTTCACAGTTTAGTGTTCACGAGATACAAACTGACCAGTCAGAGAAATATCTATTTTTAGTCAAAAATTTATCTCAAGGGTTTACATACAGAGACTGCTCATGAGGAAACAGATAAACTCCACAACAGTATCCTTACAGCAGAAGGAAAAGTAAGTTTCAATGAGCACTCAGAGATGGAAAATATAGCACTGGCCCTGAAGAATGTATGGTCTATCAGAGAAAAGCTTAAGAAACACATATAGGATGAGCACAGTGGCTCACACCTATAATCCCAGCGTTTTGGGAGGCCATGGTGGGAGGATCACTTGAGGCCAGGAGTTTGAGACCAGGCTAGGCAACATAGCAAGACCTTGTCTCTAAAAAAAAAAAAAAGTAGCTGGGCATGGTGTCATGTAGTCCTAGCTACTCGGGAGGCTGAGGCTGCAGGATCGCTTGAGCCCAGGAGTTTGAGGCTGGAGTAAGCTATGATCATGCCACTGCATTCCAGCCTGAGCAACAGAGCAAGACCCTGTCTCTAAAAACAGAAAAAAAATATATTACTATACCCATATGACTATACCCGTATGTTACTGTACCAATATTTACCTGATGCATGTATAAATTTAGGGCATTATAGTAATCCATTCGATTCCCCTTGAACTTCAGTTGGTCATAAAGGACATAGTTCATGGCATCCAGCACCTGGCTCTGGAGTTCTATTTCCATTATCATGGATGATTCACCTGAAACAGAGAGATCTACCCTGGGACCCATGCACAAATAAGGCTCTGACAGGTGCCCCAAACAACTCACAACACGAAGATACTGGCAATGGCCTAGCAATATTAATCAAGTGTTGCCAACCTAGGAAGCAGAAGACAGCATGTATTTGAAGTGCTGTAGGTTCAACACTTCAACCAGGTAAACATATGGTCACATCACTTTATCACTTTTTCATGACATAATGGGAGCACACTAACAAATCTCTCAAATCAACCAATTTCCCTCAGTTTTCTTTTGTAAATACAGCTGGATCCAAAGCAATGCCACACCTGCCTTGAAGCCCAAGCTGGGGTGGCGGCAGTTTATGCCCCGGAGGGTTTTGCAAACAAGCTCCACGATGCTGTCAATTTGGGCCTGGATGTCTTTGAGGCTGATGTCGGAGAGGGGATTGCAGTACTGGTCAATATATACAGCACCTGTAAAAAAACAAAATATTTATTTTATTTATAAACAAAATAAATAACAAATAAATTCTTGTTACTCTTACTAATTCAGCATTTGACCTTGGACATCCTGGGACATGGCTCTTTACAACATCCCATTGGATAAGCTTTGTGTTTTGGCCACAGGTCTTGCTGCTAATACACTGAGAAGGAGCAACACATTTTCCTAAGAAAGGAGCTTACGCTTTAAAAAATAAATACATAAACAAAACTTCTCTCAGAGGTCATGGACTAAAAAACTGCATGATATGTGATGCAGTCTCATATTCTATTACAAAGAGAAGTAAATGACATCAAGGAGGTCTTTTCAAGCTATTTCTCTCTCCCCGGCTCTTACAGGTTCAAAATCCAACAACTCTGAAAACTCAATATTATAAGGCAGTTCCTTTAAAACACAACAACAACAACAACAACAAGAACAAAAAAAAAACCAAGTTGAAAGCCCTCCATGACAGATGTGACATTTCAACAAATTACACTTCTTAAGGGTGAACAGTAAATGGACTCAGGAGATTACCCTATTTTCCAATGAGATAACCTGTTATGCTCAGGGAACCGACAGCTGAAAAGCTGTACAGAGCACACTGCAGACAGTCTCTTAAGAATCACTCCTCTTCACAGCGTTAGGTAATTTTGGAACTGGAGACTGAAAGGCTAACAACATCATTTGAGTAAGGACACTGTGACTTGGGAAACTCTTGAGTCATCTTAAATTCAAGAGATCTCAGACCAGCTCAGAACCTGGACCTCCTTACCAATGGTCCATGGAGCTGAAAGCAGTTGAACGGGTGTCAGGAGACCTCAACCCTCAGTCCCAGTGTTACCACCAGCCAAGGACTGGCTCCTCGGCCTCTGTAGGTCCCAGATTCCCTACCTGGAGGCTGAAGGAATTTATGCTGCACATTTCTGAAGTCCTTTCCTTCCTAATGCTATGATTCCCAGACTTCTTCAATGGTAAGAGCATTATTCTAGTCAGTCACCAAGGATCAGAACCCTGGAGAGGAATCCGTCATTCACTCAACTAGTAAACAACTTCCAATGGCTTCCCAATGCTTAGGATACTGATGTGGAAGTGTTATTTGAAAATTATAACTTTGTATTTAGAAAATGAAAAAGCAGTATTTGTTTTCATATATAAACTACAAAAAAATACACTATTCTTAACTGTGAAATAAACAGAAGATAGGATGTTTCTCAACTCCAGTATACAAATGAGGGGATTCTAGGGTGGTGAGAATTTATTTTAATCAACTGAAACAGATGTTTCATTTCCTTTTGGATGATACTAGGTTTTCATATACTTGGTAAGCATTTACACTAAGCATTGTGGGGTATACAGTGATCCTAACAAAAGGACACAACATAGGAAGCTTAGGGACTAGTTACAGAAACAAAACATATACACAGCAAACAGAAACAATGCAAGACAGTTAACCATTAAAGGCTACTGTAGCTCTGAGGCGAGTAAAATCGCCAAGTAGTCAGTGGAAATTTAATGAAAGTGAGGCTTGAGCGAATTATGGAGAGGGAGCAGGATTTTCAAGAGGGATTATGAGGAGGAGGGACATCATGAATGAGGAAGTGAAGCCAGGTGTATCTGTGATTTACCAGTCTAGACAATGGCCTGGCTGGAGCAAATGGGACATCCTGGAGAGTACAGAGCTAAAGGTCTGAACCAGATTATGCAGGACACTGAAAAGCAGGTAGAGGTTTAATACAAAAGGAAAATCAGCTGCCTGAACTGCAGGTTTCACATGCAGTGGTGAAAACATAGGTTTCTAATTAGGCTGGCACTGATATTTTGGCTGACTTGGAGGGAAGAGGGGGTAATGTTCATGAAAGCAAGTATTACTCAGAAAGTTGTTGCTGGGAGAGGTAGCCAAAGACTGCATGAGACTAGTTATGGAGGCCAGCCAGATGTGGTGGCACTTGAGCACAGGAGTTTGAACCTAGCATAGGTGACATAGCAAGACCCCGTCCCTAAAAATAAATAAATAATTTTAGAAAAAGGAATAGTAATAGAATGGGAACATGACTATGAGAGACACTAGAATGGAAAAAAAATCAACAATCAGGTAAATCACCAGAAGTAGGGAATAAAGGTAAACAACCAGTCATATTTATATTTTATAACCATAATTTATGGGAATGTTTGTATAATACTGTAAGAATTCAAAATCGTTTTTTTTAAAAAATGGAAGTCGTACTTTGTTCCTTTCAACTTAATAAGAACAAAAAGATACTCCTTTCATCCTGTCTGTCCACCCAACTTCTTCCTTCTCACTTCTCCTTATGGACAAGGAGACTCACAGATGCCCAAGAACATTTTGATCTCAATAAAACTCCAACCAGAGAGGTTAAGGGATTTACTCAAGGTCACAGGGAGACAAAATTGGATACATTTACTTCTGATTTGGAAATAATGCCTTAAAGCTCAGAAAAACAGGAATTTACTTCATTAGTAAAGTGTCAATCTCACTCTTTAAGCCATTGACGCATCTTTAAAAAACAGAAAAAATCTTAGCTTTAACTTTAATAGTTTTAACTACCTCATCGGTCAGACCTCATAATACAACCTGTAGAAGCCTACACAACATGATTAACTTTTCCACTGCTTTACCAGAAGGAACACGACAATTCCCTCTGCTGGTCTTAAAAAAACTGATGTTACCTATGGAAATACTACTGTCCACATATATGGAAAACGACCCACCTTCAAGATATGACTCATAGTCATCTGGCTGCTGAAGAAAGGCCTTAAGATTATTTAAAATTTTCTGTTGCCGCAGGTAGTAAAGAATTTTCTTTGCGTAGTACTTCCAGGTCAAAGCTTTTCTGGAAACGAACAAGTCAGTAAGAATTAAGATTTGAAAAACTTTCAGTTATCTATTTTTTACTTTACAATAACATACCATGTAGTTTGCTTAACAAGAAAAATATAATTGGTTCATTATCTTATAATACTTATTATAATGGAAGTAAATAGCACAGTCTTTGAATTGTAATATAATACTAAATTAGTGTACTGAAATCTGAGAAACAGTTATCTGTCTGGCTTCAGATTTTCTTGCCTGTAAAGGAAATGGAAGAGCAGCCTGAAAAAGGAATTGAGCTGGGGGAGGTTCCGAAGATGGGGAGGCATCTAGAACCCTTTGCTGGTCCCCCTGCTTGGGCCGGGGCTGCTGCCTTCTCTGCACTCACTACCATGGTGAGTTCACCTTGTCTCATGGTTTCACATATTATGAAAACTCCTAATTTATTTTCCAGACCAGAGTTCTCTCTTGAACTCCAGACCTGTGTATCAACTACCATCTATCTACTCTACATCCCACTCAGATAGCTGAGCCCCTTAATCTTTTTTCCCCTCCCAGAGTCACCCTCATCTCAGATCAAGGCCTCTCCATCATTCTAGTGAGGCCAAAAACCTGTGAGTCATACTGGATGCCTTGCTTTCTCTCATAAGCCACACTCAAGACCTGTCAGCCAATGCTACCAATATTATCTTCAAAATACATCCAAAATGTGCACTCTTCCCCATCAGCGTTTCTCTGTGTTGCAGCAACATCCTCCTACCTCAGCTTCCCACTTCGGACCTGGCCCCTCCCAGTCTATCCTCCATATGGCAGCCAGAGCACTCCAGTAACACGTCCAGTCATGTCACCCAATCGTCGACTCCAAGTCTCCAGAGGTTTCCCACCTTGCTCCATGAACCTAATGAGGACCTAAAAGGTCTCTTGAACTCTCACCCCATTACCTCTCTGATCCCAATTCCTACCACTCCCGCTCAGTCCCGCCACCGACGCATTCCAACTGTTCCTTTACTCTGTCTGGCAGGTCCTCACCTTAGTGACCTGTTCCTTCTGCCTGGAATATTCTGGAGATCTGCAGTCTGTTCTCACCTCCTCCTAGGCTTCAACTCAAATGTCCCCTTGAGTAAGGCCCCCTACCTTATTTTAAACGGCACCCCCTTACCATTCCTCTGCCTTCTTCCCTGATTATATTTCTCTATGGCACTTTTCATTTTCTAATATAATCAATTTCTTATTTTTCTTAGCGCCTAGCTTCCCCACTTAACAGTATAAGCCCATGAAGGCAGGGACTGTTTTGCGTGTTGTTCATTGCTGTATCCCTAGTGCCTAGAATGGTGTCTGGCACATGGTAGATGTTCCATAAAACTCGTTGAGTAAAATTCCTCATCACATATCCCAAATATATATGGGGATTATAACAAGCAGGAAAGACACAGTGATGAAACTTATCTGGCTGACTTCATGAAGAAACAAACAACCTGCCAATCTTCAGGGAGGTCAATGAAAACCTGCAGAGTGATCTATGTGTTATCTACTTTTTAACCTTTGAGTTGTAAAATACATCTATCTAGAAAATTGTGGTGAAACAAACAAGCAGCTTAATGAATCATTACAAGGCACACTCCTGGATCTACCACTCTTGCCAAGAAAGAAAACTTTGCAAACAGCCAAAAAGCCCTCCGGGGCCTCTCAACAATAATCACAAACCTCACCTCTATAGTCATCACTTTCTTTTCTCTTTAGTATTACCATGAAATATGCATCCTTCAACAGGCGAGTCTGCTTTCATGCCTTTTAAATCTCTTAATCTACAGGATCCCCCTCCATCTTTCTTCCCCCTTGTATTTTTTTGAAGAACCTGGGTTGTTTGACCTGCAGTTTCCCATCATCTGGAATCTGCTGGCTGTACCCACCCACATGATGTAGATTAACATGTTCTTCTATGTTTTGGTCTCCTGTAAATCGGATGTAGAGGCTCGGTCAGGTACAGATTCCATTAATTTAGCAAGACAACTTCACAGAAGGTAGTGCATTCTCCCATCAGGAGGCAATAATGCCTGCGTGTCCTTTTGTGATGTCAGCAGCACTGCTACTCAATGCGATCTGTTAATTCATTCAAGGTTACAAAGTGGCCATATTAGAATTCAACCATCCCTTCTTAATTTATTAGCTGGGATAATTCTGTAAGGAGAAGCCTCCTGCTGTCTATTATTTGATCCCCCATGGTATAATACATGGAAAAATCAGGATAAATGCTCACATCTTCTATTTACAATTTTTCAAAATAATGATGCAAATTTCTATTTATCCTTCAAAGGTAACCAATTAATTGTTTTTAGTATTATTATGAACTCATAGAACCAAGCATATTCGATGCATTTCAATCCATTCCGGTTATTACCCACACTGATGTTCAAATTGTCACATCTTTGGCCACTGGAGGCCTCATGTGGGTTCCTCAATACTTCCGACATAAAGCGGTGTCAGTTTTCTTACTATCTGGTTAGGTTTCCAGGATGCTCCAGGCTCATCTTTTAAAATCCTTGCATTGGACATAGAATCAGTCTTTCTCCTGGCTCCTTATGTGGAAAATGTTGTATCAAGATGACAATCTGGATACCAAGAAAGATCAATTCCACTAGGTTGGTTATTGTTTCTAGATCTTTTCAGGAACAGACCTAGGAAGCCTAGTGTGGATGTGCACATGTGTGTACATGTACATATGTACATGCGCTTCCATACACCTACATGTATTTAAATATAAAATAATTTTTTAGTTCATACTGACACTTCCAATTCAAAAATATATGGATCTGACCTTATTCTATCTTATATCTATGTCTTCTTTATTCCAGACTTCTGCTTCTCCAGGATATCACAGGTGATAAAATTAGAATATCATGCTGTTATTCATTTACATCCCTCCATCTCTCTCTCTCATACACACACACCAGCCTCAGAATAACAAGACAAACGTTCTCATCACTTTTTTTTTTTAAACGGAGTCTTACTGTGCAGTGGTGCGACCTTGGCTCACTGCAATCTCTGCCTCCTGGATTCAAGTGATTCTCCTGCCTCAGCCTCCCAAGTAGCTGGGATTACAGGCACGCACCACCACATCTAATTTTTTTTTTTTTATGTATTTTCAGTGGAGATGGGATTTCATGTTGGCTAGGATGGTCTTGATCTCCTGACCTCATGATCCGCCCACCTCAGCCTCCCAAAGTGCTGGGGTTACTCATCACTTTTATGATTACTGAAAACAGCTAAATATTCTGCATATGTTCTCCCCCACTGTCCATTCATTTTTTTTTAAACAGGTGCATTGTATCTACACTGACATATCTTAAAGCCATTACACATGCAATACTTTCTCCTTTAGAATCCTCATTTGAATTTAAATCTACAAATAAATACATATTTAGTACTCACTATCAGTCCTTACATTAGTGTTTCTCTGGGTTTTTTGGCGGGGAGTATAGGGGTTTGGTCATTTGAAGTTCATTTTCCAAGAGGTCTGTCAGGAAGGACTGAAAAGTCACTGATTCTTGTAAGTTGTTAAGTTTGTGTGCAGTCTTCATATCTGGAAGTCAGTTTGGCTGGATATAAAAATCCTTGGCTGACATTTTCCTTAGATCCTTGAGCATCTTAAATAAGTTATTTTTTCCTTTGGCATAAAAAATTCTGTTGAAAAGTCTGATGATATTCTCATTTTCTTTTCCTTATAAATGACTTTATCTTTTTTGCTTGGATGCTCAAAGGACTTTCCTGTCTTTAAAATCCAGCAATTTTATGAAAATATGTCTCAGTATTGGTCATTCTGGGACACCTTTCTTGGGTACAATGTATGCCCTTATTTATTTATTTATTAATGAATGACAAAGTCTCACTCTGTTGCCCAGGCTGGAGTGCAGTGGCACAATCTCAGCTCATTGCAACCTCCACCTCCAGGGTTCAAGTGATTCTCTTGCATCAGACTCTATAGTAGCTGGGATTACGGGCACCTGCTACCATGCCTGGCTAATTTTTTGTATTTTTAGTAGAGATGGGGTTTCATGTTGGCTGCTCTTGAACTCCTGACATCGTGAGTCGCCTCCCTCAGCCTCCCAGAGTGCTAGGATTACAGAAGTGAGCCACCACACCCGGCCTAGGCATACTCTTTTTTAAGACCACATAGCACATCATAAACAAAAACTGATTTCGTGCTGATGCTTTAGCATTTATGGAAACCACACTTCTTCCTTCCCATGCTTTCCATATCCAAACCATAAGCATTTGCCAGGAATGAATACAAACAGGATCTTACATGAAAACTGGCATCCCAAAATATTTTAAAATGTAAGGTATTCTATCATTTTAAAAAACCTTATTTGTTTGTTGGCTTGCACTTATAGTCCCAGTACTTTGGAAGGCCAAGGTGGGAAGATCACTTGAAGCCAAGAGTTCAAGACTAGCTTGAGTAACATAGTGAGACACTGTCTCTATCAAATAAAAATTAGCAGCCAGGTGCGGTGGCTCATGCCTGTAATCCCAGCACTTTGGGAGGCCAAGGCAGGTCAGGAAATCGAGACCAGCTTGGCCAACATGGTGAAACTCCATCTCCACTAAAAATTCAAAAAATTAGCCAGGTGTGGTGGTGGTTGCCTATAACCCCAGCTACTCGGGAGGCTGAGGCAGGAGAATTGCTTGAACCCAGGAGGGGGAGGTTGCAGTGAGCCAAGATCATGCCATTGCACTCCAGCCTGGGCAACAAGAGTGAAACACCATCTCAAAAAAAATAAAATAAAATTAGCCAGGCATGGTGGCACATGCCCGTAGTCCCAGCTACTCAGGAGTCTGAGGCCGGAGGATCCCTTGAACCCAGGAGTTCAAGGTTACAGTGAACCATGACTGCATCACTGTACTCCAGCCTGGACAACAGGGTGAAACCCTGTCTCCAAAAACAAACAAGGCTGGACGTGGGGGCTCACACTTGTAATCCCAGCACACTGGGAGGCCAAGGCAAGAGGATCTTTTTTTCTTCTTTTTTGAGACACAGTCTCACTGTCACTGAGGCTGGAGTGCAGTGGTGGAATCTCACTGTACTGCAACCTCGGCCTCCCAGATTCAAGCAATTCTCCGGTCTCATCCTCCTAAGCAGCTGGGATTACAGGCGTGCACCACCATGCCCTGCTAATTTTTGTATTTTTAGTAGAAACAGGGTCTCACCATGTTGGACAGGCTGGTCTTGAACTCCTAACATCAAATGATCAACCCACCTCAGCCTCCCAAAATGCTGTGATTACAGGCATAAGCCACTGTGCCTGGCCGGGAAAAATCTCAGGCCTGGAGTTTAATACCTGCCTGGGAAACAAAGCAAGACTCTATCTATACAAAAAATAGAAAAAATTAGCCAGGTGCGGGGGCACATGCCTGTAGTCCTAGCTAGTCCGGAGGCTGAGGCAGGAGGATCACTTCACTTGAGCCCAGGGGTCTGAGTCTGCAGTAAGCTATGATTGCATCACAGCATTCCAGCCTGGGTGATAGTGAGACTCTATTTCTAAAACAAACCAACAATCCTATTTTAAGCTCAAAAGACACGTGTTGGGCTAAAGGGTAATCTATTTGTATTTATTTCTAAAGACTGTAACAATATTCGTCTTTACTGGCTATGCATTTTCGTGTTTTTTGTGAATCTGATACATAAAACAGCAGCATTTCATTGCTGTTTTATTTAACACTTTTTGAATAGTGAATTAAAAGGTTTTTCCATGATTGTTAGCTGTTTGGACTTGTTCTTCTGTGAATGCCATCCTCCTAACCTTTGTACATATTTCAATTTCTCTTGAGTTCTACTGCCTTGGGTCATGGTCTCTTTGGCCATCTGCTCTGTCATTGCCTCTGCACTGTCACTCTTGGTTAAGGCGGTCTCCCCAGACTACACAAAGTCTCCTGTTTTCTGGAGGAATGTTCACTGTGTTTAAGTTGTTTAATCCTTTGGGAAAATTTTGCATAGGATGCACGTTTTCCTTTCTTCCAGATGAATATTCAGTTATGTCCGGTACCGTTTCTTTAAAAATCCGCTTTTTTCCCTCAGAGTTTAAATATATTATCTTTTATTCCGGGATGCGTTTGTCAGTTATCCTCTGCTACTGATGCAGCTCTTTTTATTTAATCACTGTATTGTTTGGATTATAAGTAGCTTTATAAGATGTCCTAATATCTTAGTGGTGCAAGTTTCCTATTACGATTACTAAAAAAATTTTTTCTGGTTCTTCTTGCGAATTTAGTCTTCTGTATATATTTTGCGACATCCAAATGAAAAAAAAAAAAAAACAACTCCCCCTGCTCACCACCCCTCAAAAAACACTTTGTTTGAATCATAATTGGATGACACTAGGTTTATATGTTAATTTGGGGAGAACTGACATTTTTTTTGATAGTAAGTCTTCACGTTCCAGAACATGCTATCTATTTTATGCCTTTCAATAACACCATGTAGTCTGACCTGGGAAACCCATTCTGAAGACTCTACTGCCTGGAAACATCACTCCTCACAGTGACACAAAATGGAAAAGAAAATGGTGGTCCACCTGTAGGAAAATGGTTAAATAAATTATGTAGGTCGGCCTCAGTGGGTCACATCTGTAATCTCAGCACTTTGGGAGGCTGAAGTGGGCAGATCACCTGAAGTCAGGAGTTTGAGACCAGTCTGACCAACATGGTGAAACCCCGTCTCTACTAAAAATGTAACATTAGCTGGGTGTGGTGGCAGGCACCTGTAATCCCAGCTACTTAGGAGGCTGAAGCAGGAGAACTGCTTGGACCTGGGAGGCGGAAGTTGCAGTCAGCCAAGATCGCCCCACTGCACTCCAACCTGGGCAACAAGAGCAAAACTTCATCTCAAAATAATAAAAATAAAAATAAATAAATAAAAGTATGTAACATGCCACAAAAGAGTAAGTAGACATTAACGAAAGTGATTCTGATGCTTCACCAGTTGATGAGAATGGATTTCCATAAGGTACTATTGAATGAGAAAAAACAATACGGAAAGGTACCTATTACATGATCCCAATTTTGGGCAATAATGATCCTTCCCCAAACTCATCACTGTCTGTCAGCATGAAGAATGCAACCTGGCTGGTACCAAGAATTACAGAGGTGGGGGCAGGAAAGGCCAATGTAAACAGAGGGAATGGGGAGGAAAAAGGAAACAGCATAAATAAGAAAAAACCAAGTCTGTACTAAACATCAAACCACAACAACCAACAAAGTATATACGAGATCCTATTTATGTATTTAAAAATATATACGCACATGGGAAAACACACAAGTCAGCCTTTATTTTTAAGACTGCACCATACTGACTACTACTAGATCATACTTCAATTCATTTATAGATAAACCAAAATAGAAACGGAAAAATGACCTCTGCATCTGAACTCATCCAAGGCCTAGAATAGTGACACATCTTACCTCTACCCACAGTTGTTCCACTGATAGATATTTCTCTCCTAAATCCACTTTAAAAAACAACAGAAGCTGGGCACAGTGGGTCATGCCTGTAATCCCAGCACTTTGGGAGGCCGAGGTAGGTGGATCATGAGGTCAGGAGTTTGAGACCAGCCAAGCCAACATAGTGAAATCCTGTCTCTACTAAAAATACAAAAATTAGCCAGGCATGGTGGCGGGCACCTGTAGTCCCAGCTACTAGGGAGGCTGAGGCAGAAGAATCACTTGAACCCGGGAGGTGGAGGTTGCAGTGAGCCGAGATTGTGCCACTGCACTCCAGCCTGGGCTACAGAGTGAGACTCCATCTCAAAAAAAAAAAACCAAAACCCAAAAAACAAAACCCAGGAATATTTTATGCCTTGTTTGTGAGATATTTCACAAAGACTCCTTTTAAGGAAGTTGTTAAACTAGCATTCTCATCTGCCATCACTAGAAAGGTTTCAGAACTTTTACAGCAGAGAGTCTTTTCCACAGGCAAGTTAGGCTGGCTGCCCAGTCATCTTCCAGGTAAAAACTGGAAATTAACCTTCACAGCAGATAATAAAAGGTGTAAGAAATTTTAAGCAAAAACCAAGAGATAAGGGGTTCTTCTTGATAGGCTCGCCTGAGTCCCTAATAACACAGTTTTTTGACTGGAAGATAAAAGAAGGACTCACTCAAAGATCTACAGTGTTCAAAGACCAAAGCAAGATTATTTTGTAACACAATTCAGAAATTGTAAAATAATCGTCCATTAAATTGACATGCCTAAGAAATTATTATTATTTTTAAACTAAAAGATTGATTTCATGATAGGCAAATGTGGTAGTACTAAGTGGAGAGGTAATAACGAAGGAAAGATGATTTCTATTACCAGAAGATTTCTAACCACCACAAAAGATACAAGGGTCCGGAGCACAGTATGTGACCTGTAGTAGTGCTAAACATTAATTCCATTTTCTTTCCAAAAGGATTTTTGTAAGGTTTCTTTATATGTCAATTGTCTTGGTGTATCTACCTAATAATACGCAGAACTTTTCAAAACTGTAACTATGGCAAGATGTGAAATATTTGGAATCACATATTATAGGGTTTAGCCACACGAAAATTACAGCTGTTTACTCTGGAGTTATTAAAACAAACAAATCCCTACTAAAGCTATGGCTTACCTTCCTTCCATATTTAGGATACACACCAGTTCATCCTCAAAAAAAATCTCTGGTCCCTCAAGGTTCTCAATGTCACTGAAGCCATTACAAGGAACCTATGAAGAAGACACATACAAACAAGCCTCAATTTTAAGTATTGATACAACTGTAACTCTCACAAATTTGAGCTTTCAAATAAAGATGTCCACTACTAAAGAGGTTAACAGTTACTTTATACTATCTTGCACTACCAGTCATGGGTAGAAAGCAACAATAATTTTATTCAGATCTTATTGTTATTTGTAATCAACTATGTTTTCATAGACTCAAATCTCTGAAACTGACAACTCAGAGTTCTAATGTAAAAACTAGCTCTGGCCAGGCATAGTAGCTCATGACTGTAATCCTAGAACTCTGGGAGGCTGAGGCAGGTGGATAACCTGAGGTAAGGAGTTTGAGACTAGCCTGACCAACATGGTGAAACCCCGCGTCTACTAAAAGTACAAAATTAGCTAGGCATGCCTGTAATCCCAGCTACTTGGGAGGCTGAGGCAGGAGAATCACTTGAACCCAGGAGGTAGAGGTTGCAGTGAGCTGAGATCATGCCATTGCACTCCAGT